AAACGCTTTTTAAACTATTACAAAAAGTAGAGGTCACATCGGTTTCTTTACTGTTCTATTAATAAGATTCGTTTTGTATGATTAAGGTTGGAACTAGTACGTAACTTTTGACCCAGTTTTAATCTAACATAATGTAATAAGGCGGTTTAGTGCATTCGGTGCAAACCGAGTTTGTTGCGTGTGACGCTAGTCCTCTGCACTTTACGAATGTTCTTCGGTGAGCTTATCTTTATAACGAGTCAAAATAATATGTTTACTAGCTGTGCCCGCGTCTTCGTACCCGTGAAAATATTTTGAATAATAAATATTTCCCATTTTTGCAACATTTTTCTTTACTGCTCCGTCTCTATCGGCTTTAGGGTTGTATATAGCCAGCCTTCCCAAATAAGATTATTATTAGTATAGAATTAGATAAATTAAATACCCACTTCACTGAATTGTGTACCCTACATAAATATTTTTCGCTTTGCTTGTCAATACCTCCATGCCCTCTGATCTGAGGACATTAGCCTGTATGTTCTTGAAACCCTTTAGGGTATTTCCCTTCCGTATGATAAATAACTAACTTGTGGCTATACTGATAATCCATATTTTAAGAATGTCGTAAAAATACCTTATCTTTACACGCTAACTTTATCTTTTCGGTGAATATGGTGTTGATAACGTTATGATTTTATTGCTATCTTTTGCCCCTGATTTCGATTTTCGCCCTCCTATTTCGTAGGAAATCTTTTAAAATTAAAAATAAATGTTATATTTAGTGACACGTGTTTAATTTTCTTCATTTAAAAAGGTACCAAAGTTCATCAAAATTAATAATTATAGTGATTAAAGCATGAAAAAAAAACCTAAGAAAAAGAAACTTTCTCGTTCGTAATGAATGTAGGCGTTTTTGTTTTCACTCAAAAAAGATAATATACCTCGTTTAATAACAGTTTAGATGTGCGTTTTTCTTTTTCATCAGAGAAGTTCGAATTTGTTTTTGCTGTTGGGTAAAAAAAAACAGATGCATTCGGCAGCTGCTGTGTTGCGGACCGTGTCGATCGCTCAGCCACTCCACTTGACTGCACCGGTGATCAAATGTGTGGGTCATTTGTATGTTTTGTCCGCGATTCTCTATTGCACTTCGTTACACGCGTCACTGGCGTGTATATTACAAGCTTTTTATTACTTTCACATGTCTGGTGTCTGTCGTCAAATCTTGCAACTTAAAATTGACCCACTTCCCGGTTTCCTATTGAGCTGAAATTTTGCATACATGTGTAAGTCCGATGACAATGCAATATTATGGTACCATTGAGCTGGTCTGATGATGGAGTCGGGAGGTGGCCATAGGAACTCCTAAACAAAACGGCGGAAACTCATCGAGTTTGGGTTCGTTGGATTTGTCTTTTCGAGCACTTTAGTGTTAGATAACGTCCAGGGTCCTGAGATTAAGATATAACTAAAAAGTGTAAAATAAAATTATAATAAAAATAAACTTTTTTAAAAACAAGCTTTTATTCTGAATTTCGAAAGCTTGTAGCGCAAACAGAGAAAAAGAGGAATAAATTCCATGCGCGATACAAACTTTCGAAATTCAGAATAAACATTTGAGATTCGCTGATGATTTAATACTTTTCTCCGAATGCCCGATGACCTTGGAAAAAATGCTGCAACAATTATCAGACGAAAGTGCAAATGCAGGGCTCACAATGAATATAACAAAAACGAAAGTAATGACCAACTCCTCACAAAACATTCATATTGCAGTTAATAACCAACAGTTAGAATATGTAAGCGAGTACATTTACTTGGGACAATTAGTATCACCGACAGAGAGTATGCAGAAAGAAATAGAAAGAAGAATAGCAAACACTTGGAAAAGATTCTGGTCGTTGAGCGAAGTAATGAAAAATAATGAAATGCCTATGGCTGAAAAACGGAAAGTCTTCAATGCTTGCATATTGCCATGTCTTACATACGGATGCCAAACTTGGGCCTTAACTGAACAACAACAAAATAAATTAAATATATGTCAGAACGGGATAGAGAGAAGCGTTCTAGGAGTGAGAAGAAAGGATAAAATGCAATTAAAAAAGATCAAAGGGAAGACAAAGTTTGGAAAAGTACAATCATTATGTAGGAAATTAAAATGGCGCTGGACAGGACATATGTTAAGAGAAAAGAAAGAGAAATGGACCAGAATAATTACGGAATGGTACCCTAGAGAAAGCAAATGAAGTAGAGGAAGACAACCAAAGAGATGGGAAGACGATTTGAAGCAAGTAGCTGGGCCAGAATGGTTACGTACAGCAAAGGACAGAAACAAATGGAAATCCTTAGAGGAGGCCTTTGTCGAAAGACAAGCTGTTAAGAGGAGAGATAAGCCGAATGCCGAAAATACCATTTAGTTTAAATGAATTTTTTTCTTACCTCTAGTTATAATGTGTAATATTATGTATAGTGAAATAAGTTAAAAAAATTAACAGCAATAAAGGCTTATTTTATTTTTTATTTTATTTTAATAATATTGTAGGAAGAAAAGTAAATATCACAGAACTTTATTTTCCCTTAGTCATAAAAACTTACTCACTTTCAATTAAAAGATGATTTTCATTATCAACCTATTGTAGCAGTCTACCACTGGACATAAAAATAGGCATTATTGACTAGTCTGCCCATTAAGCAACAGTATTTTATTTAAATCGGAGTTACCTAACTCCCTAGGACGTTTTTTGTTTTTACAAAAATGTGTTTCCATATCTTTAAGAGCTTCTTTGCCATCTTTGAGTTATTTTTATTGGAGTAGGGTTTAATAGCGTGTTCTCTATTATGGTTAGACCTAAGGTGTAGAGTAGACACGGATCCATTCAAAACCCATCCATCATGAATTTTGCCCTGAGTGTTAAAATTAACCTATCGCCTTCACAGCTCTCATATAATTTTAATGCAAGCCTATTTAATTATTTATACTCCCCGCAAGTGCATTCAATAAAATCCACGTTAATACGATACTTATTTATTTTATCAGGATATTTAGATTCCGTGAGACGATTTTCATTGCACGCTGTTATTTCAGAACTTAGTGTAGACAGCGACCTTGTTTTATATCAATTCAGTTCAAACGTTCAATTTCAAAATTAGATAAGTGTATATTATACGTTACTTGCTGTAATGAAAACCGAAAACTGGAAAGTTAAATTGATTACGACTTCTATCGTGGTACCATTTATTATAAGGTCTGTTTTTCAAGTTGATTATTCGCATAATATTTTTTCGATTGGGTTCCGATACTGCTATTAATTTAAATTATTGATGAAAAGTCAATTTGTCGGTATGTTTGTGCTTCCATTTGTAGCATTGGTAGGTCGTTGACTGAGGTCTGACATTTCCAAAAGCTAGGACAGAATATCAACCCTTCGAATTCGCCGACATTCTGGGGTTAGTGAACTAAGGTCAGCCATCGGCGCACGGTGGGCTGATATTAGAGCTTCATAGACTTAGCGTCGCTCAAATATCAAGTGCCTAATTTTGAAAAAATAAATATGCCAATGTGTTCCTTTAGCAAAAGGGAATATTTTATGTTATGTAACGTTTCTTGATAAAGTTATTATTTAATAAGTTATTGACAATTTCCTTTTTTTTTGTATGGAGCTCAACATTTATTTTTATTTTATTCGTTATTCTTAAGCTTTCTTAAGAAATTGACTTTTGTATTATGTAATGCAACATATAAGCTATGTTATCACCTAGTGTCGCATTTCGGAAATCTTCGGAACATTGTCATTTTGGACTTTAAATAAATAATAATAATAAATAATAAAAAAAAAGCAATTATTGTCAATAACTTATTAAATAATAACTTTATCAAGAAAAGTTACATAACATAAAATATTTCTTTTTGGTAAAGGAACACATTGGCGTAGTTATTTTTACAAAATTTGGCAGTTATTTAAATTTTTTTTTTTTTATTTTAATGTCCAAAATGACAATGTTCCGAAGATTTCCGAAATGCGACACTTGGTGATAACATAGTTTATATGCTGCATTACATAATACAAAAGTCAATTTCTTAAGAAAGCTTAAGAATAACGAATAAAATAAAAATAAATGTTGAGCTCCATACAAAAAAAAAGGAAATTGTCAATAACTTATTAAATAATAACTTTATCAAGAAACGTTACATAACATAAAATGTTCCTTTTTGGTAAAGGAACACATTGGCGTATTTATTTTTTCAAAATTAGGCACTTGATTTTTGAGCGACGCTAAGTCTATGAAGCTCTAATATCAGCCCACCGTGCGGCGTCGGCTGTGCAAGCCTTTGGAAGGCAACGGAAAGTTAAAATATCAGTCATTCCAAAACAAAGTTTTTTTTTACTTCTCTGTGGCCAGTGCGTGTCAATATCATAATCATTCCAGAAGTTAAACAAACTTTTTACTTTTCTGTGGCCAGTGTGTGTTTAAAAATAGGTAAAATACGTCAATGTTTCGTGTTTGATGGTTCAGCGAGATATAACAAAACCAATTTGATACAACGTAAGGGTTTCGTTAGGAATGTAATGCGGCGTGTAATTGTGTGTGTATACTTGCGCTATGCCTAATAAATACCTGCCTACTTTACCACATGTATGGTTATTAGTTTCTGTTAATGGTTGTACGGCTAGCAACACAGCTAGTTTATAACTGGTTGCGTTTTCTCTGTTTATGTTGTTGTTGGTTTTACCATAATGTTTTTAGTTTATGCGTTGAAAAAGTATTACAATTACAAAGACATTTTACCTTGTCGTTGCTGGAATCTAAAATGCCTATCCTCATAAATAGGAAAATCTATTTTTATAAAAGTACTATTGTATACTCGGAGATTCGATCACTGGCATCTAATGATCAATCATGTACTGTTTAACACCACTTCAATTTTTTTTTTGTTTCTTTTTTTTTCTTTTGTCTTTGCATTTGAAACAATACCCGTGGTAGGGCCACGAAACACGCGTTCACCAAAACCTTCTTTATTCCAGGACTCCTGCCGCCTGGTCGGCGGATCCAAGTTCTACGAGGTGATGGACGGCTCTGCGTCGGCGGACGCGTCCACTCCCTCGCCTACCGAGAAGCACGACCACATGAAGCCGATCGAGAGCGATGACGAAGGTATACGCATATGTACGTCGATGATTCTCTGGGGGCTTTTATTAGCGGTAAAACTGTAGCTGTAGATCCTGGCTACACAAGAGTTGCGGCGGTGGGAACGAGAGGTGGGAATAGCCCCGTTTGATTATCTCATTTAATGGCCACACTTTTGAATGGCCATTTAGGCGTCGAAAACTCCAGGTTAGAAAAACGCTATCTAGAATAAGTTCGTGAGATCAGATTTAGATTAATTATTTAACTGTATCTAACTAAACTTACCTCGAATAGAAGGATAACCCTTCTAGATCGCGAATTTTCCCTTGTAGCTTTATGTAAATAAGTAAATAAAGTGTACATTAACTATGAAAGTCAAATGAATATTTTTGCGATTTCAATTTCCATACACTAATATTTTTTATTGAAAAGTCACGTACCGCGAACGTTGGGCCGCTCTCACTTTGGTTGGTCGGTTACCTTCTTTAATAATTAATGCATAAAATTGTGCTGAATCATTGCTTAACAAATCTTATCACTATAATCTAATTCGAGTAACCTGAATTTGCTTAGTTTTGTGTTTGTATTATGATAATTTACTACCCGAATTGAGTTAACAGTGATGTAATCGATGTTATTGTTTATTAAATGAGTAATAACAGCAGATTCAGTTTGTAGTAAACATAAATAGGTAATTGTTTTGATTGACTGAAATTGCGTTAATAGGTTGACATTCACGCACCTCGCTTTGTCGAAATTAATATTGTTTTGAAATTAGTTAACAGCTTGTACAGCTTTTAGGCAACATGTAGACTGTAGTCTTATTATGTTGTTAACTGTACTTGACCTAATATACAGGTTGCTGAAACTCAAATATTTGAATTATTAATGCAAATAATTATACATTTTCTCGAAAGAGTTTTCACTTGTTTTTAAATAAGTACACGCAGCTAATGCTTACAGAACCATATAATAATCTTAAAACTTAACGTCCGTCGTGATACAAATTTTTGTCCTCACTCCTCACCATCTTAATGGCGCAAGTACACTATGCGGGAAATTGACCGACCCGAAACGCTAGATCGCCCACCGAAGTATGGGCGACGTACTGCGAAACTGACCCAAGTGCGTGTTTACATTACGTCTCGATCAATTTCCCGCATAGTGTACTTGTGCCATAATATTTCCCTCTGGATCTTCTAACAACCATTCTTCTTCCAGTGTCAGATGTGGACCAAGAGTGCACGGTGTTTAGCGGTGTCAGCTACCTCGGCGCTCAAAACATCTCCGACCCCAAGTCTGAGAGTGACATTCAGCGTATTATGAAGGAGCTCAGCTCTATGCCCGAGAGCCGGGACGGCATCGCCGTGTCGATATCGATACCCGTCTGCTCGCAGGGACTTGTGGTGTAAGTAGTTTATATGTGTAGTTAATTAGACGATAGTAACCTAAGAACATCGCCGACCCCAAGTCTGAGAGTGACATTCAGCGCATCATGAAGGAGCTCAGCTCTATGCCCGAGAGCCGGGACGGCATCGCCGTGTCGATATCGATACCCGTCTGTTCGCAGGGACTTGTGGTGTGAGTAGTTTATGTGTAGTTCAGTAGACGATAGTAGCCTAAGAACATCTCCGACCCCAAGTCTGAGAGTGACATTCAGTGCATTATGAAGGAGCTCAGCTCTATGCCCGAGAGCCGGGATGGCATCGCCGTGTCGATATCGATACCCATCTGCTCGCAGGGACTTGTGGTGTGGATGACTTTTTATTAGATACTTGGCATAAATTGCCTAGTGGTCCACGGTGGCCAAAGACTTAGAGCTTGCCCAAACAAATGTTTCCGCATCCAGGACAGAATGTCCTGGCGCCACAACGAGTAGAGCCGTCCGAGGAAATGGCTAGGACAAAGAAAAAGTGTAGTCCAAATCCTTTATTTGCCTTTGGCAAACTGGAGAGAGTCGTGCTCCTGCAGTGGAGACTAAATGACCTGATGATAATAACGTATAATCCTCAAATACAATTTATAAGGATCATTTCCTTCCTGCTCTGAAAATTAGTTTTTAATTGGCAGCCAATTTCGATTTTTATAACTGGTTCTTTTAAAATCAATAAATTGCTAGTCAATTAAGTTACATTTCTACTTCTTTTATCTACAACTGTCGTATTCTTCACAGCCTCTACCAAGCAGACTCCAACAGCGTGATGACCCGCTACGCCGTGAACCGCATATCGTTCTACGCACGCGGCGCGACCGGCTCGCCCGTCGCCTCTTGCTTCGCCTTCACCTGGTCTCACGGCGAGACCAAGGAGTCTGCCGTCTATCGCTGCCATGTGTTCCGTTGCCACATCGCTGAGGCCGTCAACCAGGTGTCAAGTAAGTCATAAGCACTAATATACAGGTAAAGGCTGTTTAACAGCGTTTTAAAAGCGACCAGCTCGCCCGTCGCCTCTTGCTTCACCTTCACCTGGTCTCACGGCGAGACCAAGGAGTCTGCCGTGTATCGCTGCCATGTGTTCCGTTGCCACATCGCTGAAGCCGTCAACCAGGTGTCAAGTAAGTCATAAACAGCACTATTATACAACTGAAGGCTGTTTTACAGCATTTTAAAAGCGACCAGCTCGCCCGTTGCCTCTTGCTTCGCCTTCACCTGGGCTCACGGCGAGACCAAGGAGTCTGCCGTGTATCGCTGCCATGTGTTCCGTTGCCACATCGCTGAGGCCGTCAACCAGGTGTCAAGTAAGTCATAAACAACACTAATATACTGCTGAAGGCTGGTTAGAAGTAAACAGTTCGCCCGTCGCCTCTTGCTTCGCCTTCACCTGGTGTCACGGCGAGACCAAGGAGTCTGCCGTCTATCGCTGCCACGTGTTCCGCTGCCACATCGCTGAGGCCGTCAATCAAGTGTCAAGTAAGTCATAAACAACACTGTTATACAGCTGAAAGCTGTTTTACAGCGTTTTAAAAGCGATTAGCTTGCCCGTCGCCTCTTGCTTCGCCTTCACCTGGTGTCACGGCGAGACCAAGGAGTCTGCCGTCTATCGCTGCCACGTGTTCCGCTGCCACATCGCTGAGGCCGTCAATCAAGTGTCAAGTAAGTCATAAACAACACTGTTATACAGCTGAAGGCTGTTTTACAGAGTTTTAAAAGCGATTAGCTTGCCCGTCGCCTCTTGCTTCGCCTTCACCTGGTGTCACGGCGAGACCAAGGAGTCTGCCGTCTATCGCTGCCATGTGTTCCGTTGCCACATCGCTGAGGCCGTCAATCAAGTGTCAAGCAAATAAGTCATAAAGGACACTATTATACAGCTAGCTGAAGGATCGTTAGAAGTAAACAGCTCGCCCGTCGCCTCTTGTTTCGTCTTTACGTAGTCTCACGGCGAGACCAAGGAGTATGCCGATTATCCCTCTAGACAAGTTAAAATCCGTTCCGTGAATCCATTTTGAAATTAAAACTGTCACCAATGCTATTTTGTCTATAGGGCCCATAAACTATCTACCAAATTATTGTTCATTATTATTAGTAATTAATTACTTACACTTTTACACAGCTACTAGTCAAGGAAGATAAAGATCAAACGACCGGCTCGATAAAGGGGCACTCATAAATTGTGATAAAAACGTATTTTTTTTCAAATTAGCTTAATTAATACTTGCTAAAGTAGTTAACTACAAAGTTGATGGAACAATTTAAAACATTATTAAGTTGATGGATTTATTTACTACAATGTAAACTATAATGATTTTCATTCATAGAACAAACTACAAAGCCATCATTAATAAAATTGGGTCCCCAAGTCTGTTGGACGTGACCTGGTAACTTAGCGCTACGTCAACAGTGCACCTTCTTGCACACAAATGATGTCATATCAATCAACTCTATGTATTCTGACATAAGGTACAAAGTCGCGCAGGGTTCGTAAAGCCCTTGACTGTACATTTATGATGATGGTAAAGACACGCATTTAGAGCTCATGATTTGCCTAAATTGATTCATCAAACTGTCAATGCAGATGTTTGCGCGTTCATTTATAACAATTCAGTGCGCGTGAGCATTTAACGTTTAGTCGAAGTCTATTGTGAGGTTTAGGTGGTTTGTTTTGTGGTATAAGTGTGTTATTAGTGCGTTCATAACAATAAAATTATATCACAGTGACCAATTAAATTATACTGCATGAAGTTACGTGATCTTGAGTGAGAGGTTATTATAGATTATTTTATTTATTGAGATAAAAATATTATGTCTACTCGTAAAATTATCATCTGAAATGACATCTCGCTTAAATTAGTATTCTATTGTGTTTATTTATGATCCTTCTAATTGTCTAACTATGTATCTATTTAATTCTGTTCAATCATCATTAACATAGTTTTGTATTGTTTTTGATGATAACGACATACCATATTGAATTACTGCATCCTTATTCTGATGGTTTTATTGTTTTCATTTCAAAATAATTTCAGAAAATTTAAGGGACATTTACAAATATGTAATTGCATGTTGGTATTATAGAGATAAAAACTATACACAACATTATCTTGATCTAGATAAATGATGACGAACCATTTTCTTATCTTGCGATAAAATCAACTATAGGCTGTTATTGTTTTCCAAGTAAAATATTCATCATTATTGTAGTCCTGTCACATATAATATTCATCAGACTCAAGTTTTGATTACTATAAACCTTCATTGACAAAAGTTAGCCCACATTAGTGACATTGACCTGACTGTTCCGAATGTATCGATTTATTTCAATTTTGTGTCCACTTTGAAATGCCATAGTTCGACTGGCACGCGGCACCGCGCGGCGAGTAATTATTTCTCTGAATAAGCCCGCCGCTTGTAACCTTATCGCACTGATTGGTTTGTTTGTGTTTTTACTTTAAAATGTTGGGCTTATTTATCTTCATAGTGATTTAACTGTTGTATTTAGTAGCTTCGTGACAGTCTGTTTTGGTTATTTCAAGTCAGTGCATTAAATATTGTGTAAAATACATTTAATGGTTATTTTGTGTTTTTGGTGTGCCTAGTAATAGTTGTATGTGATATTAAATAGAAGTGTGTTTATGACCGGTCAATATTATCGTTTAATAGTGCTTAAGGTACGTTTTTGTTACTAAAATTTGTCCGTTATACCGGTGTCAGTTTTCCGTGGTGTATAAAAAGTATAATATCTGTCTCAATTTCATAGTCTAGAAAGATGATAATACTATCGATTTTCGTACGAGTCGTTCTACTTGGATTTAACCTTAATTCGTTATGTATAATTTCCCAGAGTTTAGTTCTAAATTCTATGAATGGCGTGTACCCCTGACTTCCTAGTGGTCCGAAGTGTACCAAGGACGAAAACGACTACTTTTTGCAATCGCGATTATTAAATCGCTCATTATACGCCCACCTATCGTGACATGTCCTTTTATACGAATAGATATTTTGCTACTATCATAACACAATATTGATGAATAATAATGTGATTAGCATTTGCACAATGCTGCCTCATCAGCTGCAGTTGTTTATCTTTTCTTTTTGTCAACAGGTTGCTTCGCCAAAGCGTTCGAGCGTATCCCTCGTTCGATGGCTTCGTCTCTGGTCGGCGAGCTGAGCGCGGCTCCGTCTATGACCGGCTCGCTTACCGAAGCCCTGGGGGCTCCAGCGCCGCCGATGCAGCTGATGCATGTACTAGAGTGCACTGTGGACATCAAGGAGACTGACGCTAAGGTGTGTATACCATCACTATCATCAGTGACATACTAATGACGTCTTCGCTAGACGGCGAGCAAAGTTGATGATACGATAGACACTACAGAGAAGGGCAGCTGAGATCTGCGTACAGCTGTGCCGGAATTTTTGGTATTTTTTAAAATTAAGTAAGTACATGATATTGCTGGAGCATTAAACTCAGATTAAAATGTTGCTTTTTAATTGTAATATTTTTTTCAAAGCTGTGTGTATTTGACAGAACTTTATTCAGAACAGGCCATTACAGATGGTTGTTATGCATCAAACTATGTAACCTATAATCTAGTCACTCAGCTAGGTATAACACTCATCTGAACAACAGGTATACAGTTGGGAGAAGGTTGTGACAGAGCTTCGCAATGACGTCACGCGAGCGAAACGGCGTTACGACTACGAGCGACAGAAAGAGAAGCGAAATAATGACAAGGAGCAAGCGCTCCGGGCAGATTATAAGCAGAAACGGTCCATGCTCCGTAAAGTCTCCACTTTTACATATAGGGACTATGTCATGAAAAAGCAGGTACGGTGGGCCAAGTAAAGGATTACCACTTTTAAGTGGTCCGTGCATCAAAATGCGTGCGTGCATGCATTAAGTTAAGGCGAAGCTTGGATTTTGATCGTCATAACTTGTAATTGACATTTTCTGCTCTGTTTGTCTATGATACTTGTCAAGCATGCGACAATATTGTCGATATGGTGAGATTATCTTAGGGTGGTAAACCAATAATTTGGCCAACCGTACCTGATTTGGAGATGGAATGCTAAGGTTTAACGGTGCCAAAATACCGCCTAAAGATCCTGATTCATTTATTTTTTAAGCATGAGACGCATTTATGCTGCATATACTGCATTTATTTAGGTAGTTGGTCGATGGGGCTTTAACTGCTTATTAAATGTAATTAATCTTTATGCAATATTATTTCACAGGGCACATTTAGTCACGTGCCGAAAGAGAAGCTCGGATTCAAACTGCGCGGGGGCATAGACAAACAAGTGACAATCAACGTGCGCCAGGTCACGAACAACGTGCAGCCAGAATCTGATGATCCGCAGGTACAATATCGATCTTATTTTGATTGTGATAGGAATCAATTTCGTGCAGTGATAGTAATAAACATTTTTATTGCAGTCTTGCACGGGCGGTCTGTACATTGAACGATGCTTTGGGATATTGCTTGCTCCCGGGCGCAGCGTGAAGCATGCAGATATGAGGCTGCTCGAGATGGTAAGTCTTTTATGATATTTAAAACGATTAATTGGTAGTAAGACACCAGTATCGTTGATTCATAATACAATAAAAAAAATAAAAAAAAATCTCTAAGCAAGTAGGTATAGCGTGTAGTAGACAACAATCTATCCATCCCTCCACATATTATAACTGAATTAGCACGTGACACCGGATATAGATGGGCCTAAGGGCACCTCCCCACGGCGACTTTTTACGCGCGTTAGTCGCATTTGCAACGCACTACATAATAGATGCCAACGCGCTACTAACGCGCTACAACAGCGCTACGAAAAAGTCGCCGTGGGCAAGGGCCCTAAGACATCGAACAAGCCTAATATGACCGGAGCTAGATGACCTTTGGTGTTAGTATGACATGCTTATTTTGGGTTTGGGTTCCCGTTTTACCCCCTTTCGTAAAAACTTTTCTTAGTGAGCACCTACGTTCTAAAAGGAACCCCCATGCAAAATTTGAGACTCCTAGCACTTGTAGTTTCTGAGATTCGTGATGAGTGAGTGAGTCAGTCAGTCAATCAGTCAGTGACCTTTCGCTTTTATAAATATAGATATTCTTAATTTAGTATTTATACAGGGTGTTAGGTAAATGGGTATATGAGCCGACACTAGCCCATGTTAACATGGGCATATAAATGGTATGGTGAAGTCAGAAAATTGATATCTTAAATTTAATTATTTTAATTTTCATACCTTTGTCTTTAGGTTGTTTGTTTTCTGGAGGCCTTTGTCCAGCAGTGGACGTCATTTGGCTGAAACGAACGAACGAACGAACGAATTTTCATACAAATCGGATTTTATATTTTAATTTTAATTTTAATTTTATTTTTATAAAATTTATTTTGTATGAAAATTAAAAAAAATTAAATGATGATATCATTTACCAAACACCCTGTATAAGTATGATTCTTGATATATCCATAGTACTCAATATTTCGCCTTTCGTAGGTGAGCGGCTCAGCCGGCGGATATACTTGCTCGGTGTGCGCCCTATGGAACGCGGGCGAGTCCGCCCTAGCGGCTTTCAACGTGGCCAGCGGAGACGGAGCCCCTGCCTACATGTCCCTGGCTCTCGACCTGGTCATTAACTACATCCCTGAACCGCTACGGTAAGTTTCAATACGTTTAAGGCCTCAGCCTCGAGTTTAGCTGGCAGCGGGGCGGGAGCGGCGGCGGCGCGGGAGCGGCAGGATCTTATGCGTAAAATCAAATAGACCGGTTCTCGAAAACAGCGGCGCGGGAGCGGGCAACGAGCGGGCAGCGCACTCCTTCTTTTGCCCACAATAAATCGAGCGTTAGGAATAAATTTAAATCGAAATAAAATTGTCGCCGTTGTTCAGACATTTCGTTTGCGAATAAAAACAAATATCTCGACAACACAACCACGAACACAACACTTCGCCGCTAAAGCGCCGCGCGAGCTGCCCGCTTGTTTCGAGAACGGGTCTGCGTTGCCCGCCCCGCTCCCGCGCCGCCGCCGCTCCCGTCCCGCTGCCCGCTAAACTCGAGGCTGAGGCCTAAAACATAGAGATATTGAGATATGCCTACTAATGCGCTGAGTTACAAACTCACACACACAAAGTAATCAAAATAAAAACAATACGTCACGAATAGTATGTGTCATGCACACATCGCATTCAGAGCGTACTAGGTTACAAGTAATGTGCGTACAGTACAGCACCACTACATACGCAGTGACGTGCGATTGAATGCATTCTATTAGTTTGAATGTGCTCATTATCCACTGCGGTATCAGTACTTAACGTTCGAATAATCTTTAGTACTCGCAAGCAATGTAAACTGTTTACATATATGACGTCGGTGCTATCGTCATTGCTGTTACGAGCAATGTGTTCCTGTTTTTGGGCATATTGCTGCGACACTGGCCCCGCCCCCTTGTCACATCTCCCTTTAGTTTCTGTGATCTGTGGTTTCAAACACGACAGGGTTCAATGTGAACTTTTAACCAGGCAATGAGTTTGTTACTAGGTCTTGAACACTTTATTTCGTTTCAGATTGGTCATCGAAACGCCAGTAAAGGTGTTCCCGCCCACAGAGAGGTTCTGGTACTACTCTAAGAAACCACTCGTGCAAGAGTTCTACATAAACTTGAAAGAGGTGAGAAACAAAATTCATATGCTGGAATTACCACCCAACTAGCAAATTAGTGGAAATAGCAGCCTATTTTGCAACTTTTACCTGTACAGTAGCGCTTTAGGGGTTCAGAAAGTGGTTTTAAGTTCTACTATTGCTTCCGTTACAGCTCATAGCTGTAAATATCACTAGAGGTAGCAGAAACTGAACCAAATGCCACTATAGGCTTTATAAGAGTTCATTTTTACAACCCATTTGCAGTCTATAGCTTTAAAAGAGAGTTAAAAATATATGTTAAAGCTTAAAGCTGCTAAAACGCTTCTATTGTCGCTGCTGTACGCTTCAGAATTGCATAAGAGAGTTAAAAATATTATGTTAAAGCTTAAAGCTGCTAAAAAGCTTCTATTGTCGCTGCTGTACGCTTCAGAACTGCATAAGAGAGTTAAAAATATGTTAAAGCTTAAAGCTGCTAAAAAGCTTCTATTGTCGCCGCTGTATGCTTCAGAACTGCATAAAGACTTTGATTGCAGACTGCGAGGGTCCCGTAGATTTTGTTTTTTCAATTAGTGATAGTGGATCAGTTATAGAGGAAAAGTTTAAGATCCACGCTCACTACTTGATATACCAAGAAATGGAAATTATAATTACAATATTGTTTGTTTTAAATGCAGTTTATTTTAGTCCACTTTGGTTTTCAATCTTCTATTTCACATAATTTTGTACTTTTATGTTCGGCCAGTGTTACACTCCACGTTTTTCCCACGTAGATGGAATTATTTTCAAAGGTAATCTGAAAACATGATAAGACATAGTAAGTGTCAAACAATTGAAAGAGCGAAAAATATAGAAGTGGCTGCAAACGATCATAGTATTTTAGGGTTTTCAACGAGTTCTACGGATCTCCTAACAAATAACAATTAGTGTGGTATGATACCTGTAGTAAGTACGAAAGAAAATTGATTGTAAAGACTTCAACTGCATTAATGGTACAGGTATTACTTGGACCTTCAGAAGAGTGAAACTTAACGTTTTGACGCGCAGAGAGGAAGTATTACAGTTGACAGCAAGTTAAAGCTGCTTCTCATAGACGCCATGTTTACAAGACAATTATTTAAGGTTACTTGAGAAATTAATAGGTTTTTATCACAATTTGTAGTAAAATATAACCAAATATAGAACTAGCAACTTATTAAATACAAATGTATTCAAGTATGTAATTTAAATATCGTGTAGGTGTGTGATATAACATATTTTACGATATTCTGGGGTTAGATATTGAGGCGCATTAAAATACTCCAATAATATCAACTAAATGCAAGAAAATGCAGATCAGTTTATCTGCGTTTTTAACCACTTGCATTATAACAAAACATAGCTAAAAAAACACTTACCTTCATTTCCATGGACCTATAAAAAAAGTCGGACGGATTCTCATCAACAAAATACTGTGACATTAGGATACACCAGCTTGCCTGTACGTACAGGCCGGCACGCACACATTCACACCCTGACGCACCACTTCGAGTGCAAACTTCACACAGTTGACACATTTAGGCGGCGAAAAAACAACACGAATACGACATGTCTTGTGTGATGAAATTGTGTAAAAACCGTTCTGTTCTAATAAACAAAATTAAGGAATCATATTTCACAGGTAAAATATTAATCCAATCACTTATTTCCCGACATTAAAATATTGAAATTAATTGAAATCAAACGTCAATCACTCGAAAAAATAATACGTCAAAGACCAGTGTTCTCAGTTATTTACGTGGGAAAATTACCCGAAATATGGGAAATTAATAATAATTTTAGGACTTTTTAGTTATTACGCATACTATAGAAATAAAATAATTTATCATAATAATTGTGTTTTAATGGGATATATTTTCATAGGCAGATTTGATCCTTCCCAAAAATGTGGAACTGCGAAATTCAAATTTTCTTACATTGATTGCAAGTCAGTGTCAGGTTGTATGTTAAAATCTATCCGAGATAATAATAATTATATTGATGTTGCATAAGATTATGATTATAATGTACACAAGATTCGTAATTTGTAACTGCGTGAATCATTTTTGATCAACATTATGTACATACCCTGACACTGACTTGCAAACAATGTAAGAAAATTAGAACATTGAAAATTTCGCGCCTACCTCAACGCATTCACCTTTCATCCTTTTCAAATTCTGTCTACATTTCCAAGTAACATCTGCCGATCTATGTTTTTCTTAAAATAAACGGGTAAAATGTTTTGGCTAACATGGCATCCCTAAATTCACTCACACAATAGACAAACGCCAAAATTTTGCGTCACAGTTTTGTTGTAGCGCGAGTTCCGTCCGCCTTTTTTTATAGGTCCATGTTCATTTCACTTATTTTTTATTAATATTCAGTAATGTCTGACTCAATAACAACACAATGTTTAATAGATGACAGGCAAGGTGAATGATCAGTGATCTTTAATTCGTTCAATTTAACCTGTCATTCATTCAATAAATGCCACAAGAGCTTTAGTGTGGTGTTAATTATTAGTTGCAGCTCCTGTAGCGCTTTTATGCCCCTATTATGAAGTTCTAATAAAACTGTGGGTTGCAAAAAGTTGTGCCCCTTTGGCTCCCAAGCGGCTGCATAAGATCTGTAGTGCACGCTCTAGCGCTTGAGCTTGGCGCCTTTGGAAATAATCGGATTGGCTCCAAAGCTCTTAAGCAACTAGTTTGTGCTAGTTGGGCAGTATATTGACTTGTGTGCTTAAACGTACTCGTTACTGCGTAAGAAAATACAATGTGAGTCACGATAAAGTGCACATATGAAAATAGGTGAAACTAAACCTATTTTTATCGACAAAAAAGAGGTCAAAAATTTTTAAGTTTTTTTTTTAATTTTTTTTCTTCCAATTACTTATTGTAAAGAAAACGTATTAACTTTTAAACTAAGAGGTATATTCTGATAAAATAAAAACAGTAATAATGTTAAATAACAGGCGATACTAAAAAAAAATACATAAAATACTCAGAAAATGGCAACAAATAATAAAAAATGATACATTTTGAAAACACTGTATATGACAGATTGTACAGCGCCCCTAGAGGCACAGAATAAGTAATAGTCTAGAGGTTACTTTCAAGAACTAAATTCGTCATATATTTTTTTAAGCACTCCCTAGCGATTACTTTTGATGTAAACTCACTGTAAAGCTAGCGGACTATAACTTTATGACGATTTTTTAAGTTATTTACAATTTAGTTTGAGATGCGACTATAACTTTGTTAGTAAATTACATCTTAAACGCTACATTGATACTTTTGTTTCAGGTTGTAACCGCCTCCGGCGAACTGAATTACGAAGTGATAAACGTGGATACCTCGGGGGAGTTAGACCGATCTCGCCTGAACTTGCCGCTGTCTCTGTCTAGCCTGCTGCCGTCGCCGCTGTCGGCCGCGCCCGCGCCCCCCTCCCCTTCCGAGCCCGACTCAGGTAAGCCACGCCCACCGCTCTCACCCTCTGAGTCCGACTCAAGTAAGCTCGACTTAAGTAACAGCGCGAGGGCCGCGAAAGCCAAGCCCGGCTCAGGAAACGGGACTATTTCCACCTCTCATTCCCACTGCTGCAACTCCTGTGTAGCCAGGGTCTACAGCTTGACCGCCAATATAACCCAACCAGTGAAGGTCAAGTTTGTCCCGGGGGAAAGTTAAACTGTCATTGGATCCGCAACGAAATTAAACAGAAGAACATAGGACGAGTTCGAAGTTAAGGATGACAGGAACCCGGCTCAGGTAAACGGTAACAATGTACCTTTCTGTTCTACAGTAGGCGTGGCTTACTGTAGGCCACGCCCACTATAGAAAAGAAACGTGGCAGAAAGGCGCTTGCCATCTGGCTAATATGGAAATCTTTAAGAGACTATGTTCTCGTCCAGTAGCTGAAATGTGTTCGACAAAACAAGCGACAAAAGCCCAATGGTGTCTGTGTCGGAATAGCCAACTCGGGATCCGAATTACGCGGGTTCGTACCCCACCGCCGCTGCACTATTTTGTGGTATACCCACTCGCAATATAAGCATATTTTCCTTACCACAATTTTAGTACTTTTACTTTTTCATGATACTTAAATGTAAATTATCTATATCATACTAAAACGACACCTAAAGCCTGGTCCGTGAGCACGTAGAATCCCGTCCAATGACCCCAAGCTACCCATCCCTACCGATCGCGCGTAATTATGTTGCTGTCGCGCTCGCACACTCACTGCGGGCGCCCGTCGCACAGTCGCGACAGCAATATAATTACGCGCGAGCGATAGGGATGGGTAGCTTGGGGTCATTCGACGGGATTCTACGTGCTCACGGACCAGGCTTTATATCTTCAAACATTGCTCGAGTATTTGTTCTTATGTATAGTGTTATGTAATCGTGCTGATAAAGTAAATATTTAGATGATCAGTTCCCCTTCACTTACAGATGGTGACGAACCTCTCCTCAGCGGCACGGGCGAGGTATCGAAGGACTGCGGCGAGGACGTTCTGGTCAATTGGGCTCAAGTTCTAAGAAGGTAAGAACCTTAGAGATATACAGGGTGGAAACGATAAGTGATCTCACTCGATTATTTCTAAACCATACAAGATATCTAAAAACTGGTTCCTGATCCTGAAAGTGCTTTACGAGCTCTTTCAAACGGCACCAATAACAGGTTACAGAATAAACTGGATCTATCCGAAAATTCAATGTTTCCGGCTTCCATACATTTGGTACAGCCTCATAATATTAAAAACTACAGAAGGTATCGTAAAACTGGTTACTGATCCTAAAAGTGCTTCACGAGCTCTATCCAACGGTATCAATATTAAGTTACAGAATAAACTGGATTTATCCAAAAATCCAATGTTTCCATCCCCCATACATTTAGTACTACCACAGTCATGGCACTCATCTCTTGATACTTGATACAACACTTTATAGCAAGTTAAGCCTAAAACTATTTTTTTCCTTGAATAATTTTAAATAAAAATGCAATTTACGAGTTTTTTTTAGGTTCATTATTTAATTTTAAAAAATTACACTTAATATTGTGTGGTTGGCATACATTTAGTATGGAAGCTGGAAACATTGAAATTTCAGATACTTCCAGTTTATTCTGTAACCTGTTATTGGTACCGTTTGAAAGAGTTCGTAAAGCACTTTCAGGGTCAGTAACCAGTTTTTCGATATCTTGTATGGTTTAGAAATTATCGAGTGAGATCACTTATCGTTTCCACCCTGTAGAGAGATGCCAACTAATGCGCTGAGATCGAAACTCAGTGTCGCATTAGAAATTCACACACACAAAGTAATCAAAATATGTGCTCATTATCCACTGCGATATCAGTACTGAAAGTTCGAATAATCTTTAGTACTACGCAAGCAATGTAAACTGTTTACATTATGACATCTGCAGCAATGTGTTCTGTTTTTGGGCATATTGCTGCGACACTGGCTACGCCCCCTTTTCACATCTCTCTTTAGTTTCTGTGATCTGTGGTAAGAACCTTATCTCATGTAAAAGTAACGGAGTAGCTCCAAACGAAGTAGCTAGTATTAGAGTGGCTGGATAACGAATAGAAAAAAAAGTGGAAGAATTTTCGTGACATTTAATTATACCGCATCAGAATTCAGACTCATCAGAGAAAGAAATTATTTCCTAAAACGTGGCCGTTACAGAAGCTCTAAATTAGTGCCACAGTACCTTTCTTTGATCGATAAAGTCAAAGTTAAGAGCCTAGTCCTTAGCACCTTATGCTGTGACATTGTCACAAAATTTCCAGATGCTAGACATAGGCCTTGAACCAGATTCAAATTACTGCCCAATACTTATACTAAAACGTTTGTTTTTATTTGTATAGAGAACAATAGTGTCTAGACAAACCTAAAAAGGATTTAGGACGCTATTTGGATCAAATATGTAATTGCTCAATAATGAATAATAAATAAATAAAATAAAAATAAAAATAAATAACTTCCGATGTCAGAGAAGTGGGCGTGGTTTTTTTCATTTGTCATTGTATCTCATACCTAATTTTATTTATTGATTTATATTAGGAAGACCAGGGTTTACATAATTGATTATTTTATAATTAATAACACTTGATAACCACTCATAGGTCCCCACAAAATCAAATTATTAATCAAAAAGTGTATTTATACATACTTTTTTCCTTTGCCCAGCTGGACGGGTCCGCGGCCGCGCGCCCTAAACCACTTAGTCCGCGTGGGCGTGCCCGAAGCGCTGCGCGGAGAAGTGTGGCTGCGGCTGGCCGGCGTCGACCAGAACGACAAGCTTATGGAGACGTACAGGACACTTATTAGCAAGGTCAGTAGGTCTATAATCGAGTGGCGTGCATCGATACAACTCAGAAACTTTTTGTCCGCGTGGGCGTGCCCGAAGCGCTGCGCGGAGAAGTGTGGCTGCGGCTGGCCGGCGTCGACCAGAACGACAAGCTCATGGAGACGTACAGGACGCTTATTAGCAAGGTCAGTAGGTCTATAATCGAGTGGGGTGCAACGAAACATCTGCGGAACCATTTAGTCTTGTGAGTGTGTCCGAATATATGTGTAATAAAACAAATGAAGTAATGACCCTGGATTGAAATGAATTTAATGATGTTAAATAGTTGGCGCCATTGTAAAGAAGCGCTACACGTTAGTGGCTTAGGAAGTGTTCCTACCGCTTCAAGGCACACCACGCTATCTTTGCCACTTAAAAGTCTTCTCACGCGCCATTGGCATCAACTAGAGGTAGGTTTCACTACGGGAACGTCGTATTACATCGATAACAACAGTATATGGTCGGCAGGCGGGCGACCGCCGTGTGTGCCCGTTCCTATGCTTGGAAATGCTCGAACGCGTGCGAGGCGCTAGTGTCAGCGGAGGCCCAACAAGGCTTCATTCTGGGAACTTTTTGTCGCGTCAATAACAAAACTAGGATGATCGCTACAGTAATTAGCCAATACATAGTTATTGGCCAACTTGCCTAAATAAAATGAACAGAAACAAGCCTAATGGAAGAGGAAAAGAGACAAATATTTTTTCTGAGCTTTAAGCAGTCCAATGTAGTAAAATTTTTGTCTCTTACTTATTAACAATCCAATATGCCAATAACTATGTATAGGCTAAGTACTATAGCAATCACCCTATATGCTCTCCCAGCCTTAAACCGTGTATTCGTTCCCAGGACTGCCCATTCGAAGCGGTGATCCAGCGGGACATCGCTCGCACGTTCCCTGCGCACGACTTCTTCCGCGAGGCCGGCGGGCTGGGCCAGGACTCGCTGCTTCGCATGGCGCGCGCCTACGCCGTGCACGACCACGAGGTCGGCTATTGCCAGGGCCTCAGCTTCTTGGCTGCTACGCTGCTGCTACATGTGAGTACCTGAGTAGGAAAGAAGAAAAAGAAGAATAATAAAACTTAACACTATTACTTAAAGTCCGGTCGCCGAGCAGATAGAAGTACGTCCAATGACGCCAGAGTACCTGAGTATATATGTAATAGGACCACAAACAGATTCACAATCAGAATTTATACAGGGTGTCCCGTAATGTAACGTCAAGCCGGAACTGGGTGTTGAGGCGAGTTGTGCTGGTTATCAGAAAAATATAAAAAAAATTCTATGTGGCATATTTTAAAAATAATAGGCATTTAAAAAAAATCTAAAAATTCTACTCCAGGTGACGGTCATTTTGCTCGTGTTGCCACAAATCTTCACTTTTTCCAAATTTTTTTTTTGTTATGTAACCCTGAATAATGCTTCTCTAAATTGTTATCAAAATTACAAAACCAGCTGCTCCAACTTGGATGAAAAAAATACATTATTCCCAAAAAAAATATCAAAATAAAAAATTTACCTAGTTTAAACTGACTGTACTGAAAAAAAATTGTACTACGCGAGTGTGGCAAGTGACGTCATAATTTGGCGCATTTAGTAAGGATTCCAAAATGGTATAACACTTTGTAAAATCTTGCTGTAATTGTCGACAATTTTTGTTTATTGGAAATAATCCCGTTTTTAACTTTATCTACCTTGGTTAAAAATATTATTCTAATGTGCCCAAAATGCAAGTTTCTGGCTTAAGTGAGGTGGAGAAGATATTTTAAAAGGTATGAGCGGGACGGAGAGGGCCATCTTACCAAGGGATGTTATGGATATCCGTTACCGTAACCGAAACTATCGGATATCCGAAATAAAAAAATGTCCATAACCGTAACCGAAACTGATTCAAAAGTTACGGATAGTTTCGGATAAAGGCCAAACTGCAAAACTCTATGAAATCTGCAGTATACACGCCGCAGCTGCAATGCCGCGCTGCCGATTTCATAGTTTTGCAGTTTGCGGTTGCAGTTTGCGGTCTGCGACCCGTCTTGGAATTGTACCTTAAATCTTAATATTTGTTACCAACTTGTCTGGCATTCGCTGGCACCATCTAATATGCCAGCCTGTTTTACCTTTATCATACATAGGTGTCGTCTTAGTTGGTACATAAAGTAGCTATGTGGGTCACGCTCACGCAGCATCTTGCTATTTGAATTATACCCACATTTTTGAAATTCTAATAATTCCGTAACCGAAATTATCCGAGACTTTCGGATAATCTGAAATGATTTCATATCCGTGACCGTAACCGAAACCGGTGTAATATTATTCTAATATCCGTAACCGTATCCATAACCGAAACTTCATATCCTTATTATCCCTGTTACCAAGTACAAGTGCAGGCAGAGCAGGTAGTAAAGGCGCGCGCGCACGGGTGACTTTTGTCACAGTATGTCAACTACTAATTACTGTCATGGTGACAAAAGTATCTGTGACTGACTGTACGGTAGTCAGTCACAGAAACTTGAATTTTGGGCACATTAGAATAATAATTTTTAACCAAGGTAGATAAAGTTAAAAACGGGACTATTTCCAAAAAAAAACAAAAATTGTCGACAATTACAGCAAAAATTTACCAAGTGTTATACCATTTTAAAATCCTTACTAAATGCGCCAAAATATGACGTCACTTGCCACACTCGCGTAGTACATTTTTTTTTCAGTACAGTCAGTTTAAACTAGGCAAAATTTTTATTTTGAAATTTTTTTTGGGAATAATGTATTTTTTTCATCCAAGCTGGAGCAGCTGGTTTTGTAATTTTGATAACAATTTAGAGAAGCATTATTCAGGGTTACATAACAAAAAAAAAAATTTGGAAAAAGTGAAGATTTGTGGCAACACGAGCAAAAGGACCGTCACCTGGAGTAGAATTTTTAGATTTTTTTTAAATGCCTATTATTTTTAAAATATGCCACATAGAATTTTTTTTATATTTTTCTGATAACCAGCACAACTTGCCTCAACACCCAGTTCCGGCTTGACGTTACATTACGGGACACCCTGTATAAAGAAGATAGTATAAAATAACGTACATTATTATTATGAATCAAACGGCGCTGGTCTCAGTTTACTTATCAACTAGTGTTAAGGTCTTTTACATAATTTTTAACTAAGTATGCATGTAAAATAACTTATACAAAAGAAGAAAAAGAAGAATAATAAAACTTAACACTACTTCAAATAAAGACCGGTCGCCGAGCAGATAGAATTTAGTCCAATGACCCCAAGCTATCCTTATCGGTCGCGCGCTTCAGCAGTGGACGTCCTATGGCTGAAATGATGATGATGATGATGATGATAAAATGTTGCTTTATTCAAATTCCTACGCTAAAAATTATCCATTTGTATTTAATGCCACTATGCAGTCCTAGTTTAACTATTATGAGAAAAACTCATTTTTGCATTTCTCATACTAGTTACTATTCAAGTAGCCATAAGATAAAAATAATACAGAATACATAGGCTTGTGATACCTTTTTAGAATCTCAATTAACCAAGGAAGTTTTTAAGGTAATGGGCACGATGGTCTTCCTACATTTTTTTTACACGACGGCTGATCAAAAGTGCAAGACAATGAATTAATTTTTCCTTCTTCTCTGCAATTTCTTAAAATTTTCATACTTTTAAACTAGTTTGTCGAACTTTAATCTTTTCTTTTGATAGCCCAACTATCCCTTGTGATAACGAAAAAAACTAGATTGAAAAGTATCCTCATTTGTAGAAATGGCATGAGAAAAAGTAATCGCAGGTGGCAATTTTCTAAAAATGCACAAAAACTTAAAAATCTTGAAAACGGTGATATTTTTACTGGAGTCAAAATTGGACGTTAAGGAAACCATGGCGAGGCCTATCGATGGTTACAGGGTTATCCATTGTTTTTGGGACACCCTGTATGTATACCTACAGTTCTTCCCTTTCGCATTTAGTCACACAAACGCAAGTAGTCCTACTCGGATTCGATCCCAATAGCAAATGGTTACATGAAAGTATTTTCAAGTTCGCAAAAAGAGAATGTTTTATGAATCTATTCAACATTATTAATTCTTGTTACAGATGCCTGAAGAGCAAGCTTTCTGCTTACTAGTACGTCTCATGTACGGTTACGGACTCCGTGAACTGTACAAGGACGGCTTCGAAGCCCTTTATATGAGGCTACACCAGCTTGATAGACTTATGGAGGTAAATACTTCTTTAAATTTCAAATACATACCAAAAGGCTACATTTCTACCTTTTAAGTAATATATTTTTTAATTAACATCAGATAGTAACGTCATCTACTGGCACATTCCTTGTACTCGAAGAGGAAATGACCTGCTCTGATAAATAGTTTTGATTGTTATCACCACAATAACCCAATGTGGTCTAAAGCTACTAAAGAAAAGAACTACTAAAGTTTGCTGGAATATCCCTGTCAATTTGTAATTTTTTTTGGCACATCCATTAACTGTTCTATTTTATTATATCCAGGAACAACTGCCCGATCTACGCGCTCACTTCCAAGAGTTGGGCGTGGAACCACACATGTTTGCGTCGCAATGGTTCCTCACGGTGTTCACAGCGAGATTCCCTTTGCCTTTGGTAAGTAAGAGCTCTAGGGTTAGGGACATTTTGTGCATATTAAATGATACTAGCGGCCGCCTGTGACTTCGTAAACGTGGTTCCCGTTTCACCCCCTTAGGGGTGGAGTTTCGTAAAATCCCGTCTTAGTGAGCACCTATGTTCTAAAAGGAACCCCCATGTAAAATTTGATACTCATAGCACATGTAGTTTCTGAGATTTCGTGATGAATGAGTGAGTAAGTCAATAAGTGCCCTTTCACTTTTTACCCGATTGCGCCAGAAGGAGGGTTATGTTTTTCGAGTGTCGGAACCACACCGCCTTGTAATGTTTTCTTTGTGGTCTAGCTATAGACGTATTTCGTTGGATAATGTTTATTAATAGTGATTATAAATAAACTACTGCCAATAATGGCAGTCGGTCATAAGTCCGTTTAGTTCAACAGCATAGCAAACGCTAAAGTTCGTCAAGACAATCTAATTAATTTATTTCTATTTTTCAGGTATATCACATCCTGGATGTGTTCTTGCTGCAAGGAATAGACACGCTGTTCCAAGTGGCGTTGGCTCTTCTGTCACGCTCGCGCAAGGACTTGTTGACACACGACTTTGAGGGTGTTCTCAAATATTTTAGGTAAGTTACTTTACTCTTTACATTTATGTTGCCGTCGCTTTTGCATTTTTGTTACAAAATATAAGGTCACCTCCAACAGACAGACGATATTTAAGGGACAAATAAAACGTCTTAAATTAATTCGTTTTAGATAGTACAACCATATTTTTAGAATGCTAGTTTTCGAGATTTTTTGATGTTATGTCGAGTGTACCCGAAGTGCTCAGTGCGGTCCGGAGGCATGGCATCGATCGTGCCAGACAGTGCATCCGTGTACAAGGACGTCACGTCCAGCAGCTTATGTAAATTAATAATGTGAAAATGACAGAGAGAGTTTAAAAATAAAAATATTACATTTAGTTTGTTAGGAAAAGTAAAAACAGAAACTAGCCTATTTTTTTTGGTTTTAATGCTAGGGTCCAATTTTTCTAATATAATTAGATGCCCTATTAAAATTTCGTCTGTCTTTCGGAGGTGACCTTATATGTATTTAGCGTCATATTTGCTTAGTGAGTTGGCGCCTTAGTCCTGTCAATCGCTACTGGCGTCAACTGGTGGACGCAAAATATGATAATCCGCATTAAGGCAAAAAGGCATTAAGTCCGCCTTATGTTCCGTTCTATGTGCATATAAGTTTTAAATAAATAAATAATCCTCGAAATTTACTCAATAATTTTCTTTTCCACAGAGTGACACTACCAAAGAAGTGTCGCGCAGAAGAATCATCGCGACAGATCATAAAACTTGCGTGTAGCATTAAAGTGAAACGACTTGCTAAATATCAGCAAGAATACGAAAAATTTGTCAAGGGTACGGTTTATACTTTTCTTATCAACCGACTTCAAAAAAGGAGGAGGTTCTCAATTCGACCCGTATGTTTTTTTTTCTATGTTTGTTACGCGATAACTCCGCCAATTATGAACCGATTTGAACTAATCTTTTTTCGGCGTATAGGTAATACCTCAAGGGTGGTCCCATTTAAATTTAATAATAGAAAAAACAACCCCCAAGGGTGGAAAATTGGGGATGAACTTTTTTATACGCAATATCTCCGCCGATTATAAATCAATTTGAACGATTATTTTTTTGTTGAATAGGTATTATCAAAAGGGTGGTTTCATGCGAATTTGAAGAAAATATTTCACCCCCAAGGGTGGAAAATTGGGGATGAACTTTTTTATACGCAATATTTTTAATTTTTAGTTTTTTTTTGTGTTCACGCATTTGAAGTCGGTTTTATTTTTTTTAAAAGTTATTTTAGAAATTCTTAAACATATTTCAATTAAGGAATCTATTTAAGTGTTAAATTATTTATTACAGAGACTACCGAGAAAGAAAAGATAAATGTGGAATTAGAGAGGCTCAAAATGATAAACACACAGCTACAGCAGGACAAAGAGGGGTTGGAAACCCAGTTGAATGAGGTAAAAATAATCTTTAGTCTATATTGTCTGTGGTAGAATACTAAAAGCGGCAATAGCCGGTGAAAGGTTTCGATCTGTCCGAATCGAGATCTGAGGAACGCGGGTTCGAACCCCGCCGCCGCTCGACTATTGTGGTGAACCCACTCGTATTGTTCGCACAAGCATATTTATTTAGCTAACCTCGAGGGGTTAACGGGAAAAATAACACACCAATCACATGTAGATTATTTTTATGTGGCTACATCAGTAAACTATCCTATCATATACTAATAAATTCAATCATTTGTTCCCCAGGCTCGTGGCTCGTTGGTGGAAGCCAAAAAAGATACAGCACACTACGCGGCCGTTGCTCACGACTACCGCGAGATATGCGCCCGTTTAGACAAACAGCTGCATCAGGTCCAGGTGAGCTACTGGCATACTTATTGCAATCGGCATATGGTTCAAAATTATAATGCAAGCTTTACACTATGTTTTGTAAAATGTACCATTCTACTATTGTTTCGAAAAGATAGTGATACTTATGCTACGATTAGTGGCTTAAGCAGTGCTTATTCAAAAGCCTTAGTACTTTGCACAAGTATAATATCTAGTTGGTGTATAAAGTAATAAGACCAATGCTTTGCTTTTGAGTCACTTTTCACTGAAATAATCTTCACTCTAATAAGCATTATTTTATGACTATATTTTGCCGTGTAAACTGTTACAGGACTACGTAAAGGATTGTGTAAATTGTAGCGTCAAATTTGCACAGAAGGATAAGGATAATAAAGACGGTGAGTGCTCTTTTCACACAATTTTAATTCTTATTCATAATATTCAAAATCCAATTTCCCTTACACAGCTCAAAAAGTATTTTCATCAGACAGCTAATTTTATATCGGACCGTCATACTAATAGAGTTGATTTTTGCACAGAATCTGAAGAGAAAGCTGAAGATAAGGAAGGTTCAAGCGACGCAGAGGCTAGACTCAGGCAGCGCGTGAGGGATCTCGAGCTGGAGTTGGCGCAGGTCAAACTGGCGCATGTGCAAGCGCAATGTAGCAACCAAGTGGGTAACATTATTGTTAAAGCCCGGTCTGTGAGCACGTAGAATTTTGTAATTGAGAATGTTACTAGGTATGCAAAATCACTTGAAACCTAAGTTACAGTTAGGCTTTTACATTTACAAATACATTAGTTTTTATTTCATTCAAAAATACCCAGTAGTTATGATTTTATAGGCATTCAAAGTTCGCTTAAATATTGAGTCCCGCCAACGGTCACGTGACCGCGCGTGACGTACATTCACAGTGTCCGCTCACTAGAAAACGGATATAAACATACTTAAATACATTTTTTTATGTAAATACAAACTTATTATACATATTAACACCCAGACCCATCACAGAAATTAAAATTGAACCAAATCCAAACTTGATGCGATTGTATCGTTTTATTGCGAATTACCTTCCAGCTTCATCATTAGACCCTGATTATTATATAGAATTAAAGTACTCATCAATACAAAACGAACGAGCCCAAAATCGATGGATTTAAGTCGTTTTATTATAGAGTTCCTATGGCCACCTTCCAGCTCCATCATCAGATCAGCTCCATGTCATCATAATATTGCATGGTCATCCAAATCACATGTGTTTGCAAAATTTCAGCTTAATCGGTTGCCTGGAAGTGGGTCTTAATTCAGCTTGCAAGATTCCACCCATACAAATATGAGCCAGTCACTGAAATATGACGTCACGCGCATAAAATGGAGGGCCGGCCACCGCCCGCACTTTTAAAATTCAATATCTTGGAAACTAATTGACGTATCGAAATAATTCTTTCACGAGTATTTTTTATTTTTAACAAAGAATACAGAAAGCTAAAAAACAAAATTAGTGAACATTCTTCATTATATTGCTGTCGCGACTGTGCGACGGGCGCCCGCATTGAATGTCCGAGCGCGACAGCAACACAATTACGCGCGAGCGATAAGGATGGGTAGCTTGGGGTGATTGGACAAAATTCTACGTGCTCGCAGACCAGCCTATAGTTCTAATCGATACATTACTCGACAAAAGATTGATATCGATTTGTCATTCATCATTTCAGCCATAGGACGTCCACTGCTGAACATAGGCCTCCCCCAATGCTTTCCATGTTGATCGATTTGTCATTAAAATGGCAGAATAATCACAAAACTTAATCATTGTACCGCGCTTCTCGATACACTGACTATTTTAAGGTTCTTTTCTTAGACTCAAACTTTTTACGATCTATTTTTTATTATCACACCGTTTTGCGACCAGATTTTTCTGATTTTCGTCTTTCAACGACTCGCTGATAAAACTTTTGTCACATCGCTTGCCCTCTAGCTACACAATCGCATAGTTATGAAACTTTGGATACATGGTTTTCATCTACATTATTGTTTTTCACAGGAATTGAGCCACCAACTGAACGCAGCCCTCAACGAGCTGCAAGCTTTGATGAATCAAAAGCAGTCCGTAGCGCCATGGCTCGTGCGCACTCTAGGTAAGAACACTTGGAACAACACAAAACTCACAATAATTGTTGAACAAAAAAAAACGTTTCACTCCTTAACTATAGATATAGCTCCCCTGACTAAACTTATAAATCCCCCAAGATAAAATAAAGCTTACATAATTAAAAACCAAATGCTCGCCTCAGCATTCGATGTTTCACACCCCGCACACTCATTGCGGGCGCCCGTCGCACAGTCGCGACAGCAATATAATTACGCGCGAGCGATAAGGATGGGTAGCTTGGGGTTATTGGACAAAATTTTACGTGCTCGCAGACCAGACTATAGTTTCAATTTGCCTCAATTTGGTTTTATACCTTCAGGGTTGTTAAATATTTCAAAAAATCTGCAATAACTTTTTCTAATGCCTGTAACATTCATGTTTTAATTTTCATCCTGTCTAACATAATCACCACTACAGCATGGTCATGAAATCGAAATCAGTTCTTTGTATTTTTTTCTGTATTATCATTGAGACTAATTTTGTCTTTTAAAATTATTTTAAGTTCCCAAATCAATCTAGCCTTTAAAAGAGCAATGGGAAAATGATTCCCACTTTATTTTGAGCCTTTTAACATCCAAAAGCCTGCAATTTTTTGTACAATTGACAATCAAATGTATAATCGGTTCATAAATGTTTCTTTACCCCATTGTAGGTCATTAACGCGATGTCCTATACCAGAGCAGTCGAGGTGATTGAATTAACTTGCTGTTTTAATGTTGCTGTGGCAATGCTAATGTCGATGTTAACTAACAGTCCGCTTGTCAACCGTTAACGCATCGTTATTGTTTGTTATTTAGATTAACGCTATTTTTAACTTCGCATTGTTCGTTTATTAATGCCTGGTAGATTAACCCTTTCCTTTCGTATCATTGTAACATTAATGTAACATTTCTAGTACTTTGTAGTTTGATAGTTCTGCAAGAAAACTAATTTCTTTTTTATTAATCATAGACTGAATGGTTTAGGGACTTTTAATACAAATTATGTCATTTTCTTCACTCGGTGTAAGGTTTCTGAGACAGAATGTGAAAATGTGTTAGAAAATAGTTCCTATGTTTACATAAAACTTTCTTTCAAGGTTCTATCATGGAAGCGGCACAAAATCGGCCATCATTCCAAACGTACCTGCCAAATATGAATCAAGAAACGAGCTCGTTGCACAGACAAGGATCCTTCTCCAATTCTCACAGCAGTCAAAGTACCAGCCAGCCCAGTCTAGACAGACGTGTGTCCGAGCCATACAGCCCAGACGTCGTCCGCAGGAAGAAAGACCTCAACGCCAAACGGCATTCAATGCTCGTAGACTCAAACGTCACCAAAGAGGCGAAGGAACTGAACCGGCGGAGCCATGACGCCACCGTCGTCAAAAACCTCTCGATGGGTTGACCCCACGATACTCATTCGGTTAGTCTATATCCATTTTCAAGTCGTATGCCCACTCTTTCTGTAACGTAGAATGCGAACGAGACAGACTAAACCTTAAGAATTATTTTCGTGTTCGCAAATTATTTTTAAATTTTATTGATATTATTTTGGTGTGTATTGTGAGAATTTTTACTTTGTCTGTAATTTGTCGGTATGATAAAAAGTAATCTGCATTTATAGTCGAACAGTATTTTCCGCTGACATCTTATGATATTTATGTCCAAAAGTGAAAACAACACTAGTCATCATATTTTATAATGAACAGAAAAATATTTGCAAAATGATGTTATTGGATAAAAGTTCAAATATTATCACATATTATTGGAAATATAAAAAATATCTAATAGATTGTTTTATATTCATCGAGCTATGGCTCTTGATCTCACTTTAGTTCATGGGATCTATAATGAGCCTGCTCAGTGAGAGACAGTTCAGAAAAATATTTCTATACTTGTCCCAATCATGTAACTGATTTCAATTTGAATTACAATTGGTAGGTATATTCTGATGTTCCCATGACTAATATTTACTGTGAAAGAAATATACAAGCTCTATATTTATTGGAACATTGACCACACTGTTCTATTATAGAAATCTATATAAAAGAGTTAGGGATGTAATGATTAAATTGTCTTTTTTCATTTTGTTAAAATTCTGTATGAGGAATTTTAATATTACGACTGCTCTACTTCCATGATATTCATCATTATAAAACGTCTTCAACATAATTCCTACATAATTATTATCACTGTGTTTTTGATTGTAATGATTTAATTCCCTTCATTAAGTAGTGAGAAAAGTCACCAAACATGTAATGTAAGTGCACTGGATGTTGATCACGCATTTCATCACCATAATCATTTTGCAAAAAAATATTTGATTAAATTATTCTATAATTTATCAATTTTGTAGTAGTATAACTAGAAAAATATCATTACTAAACGAATGATAAAGTGTGTTTGTTCACTATGATGTGTGATGAAATGTGGCGAATTGTTTGGATGTAGAGGCGATGACACATCGAAGTAAACTGTAGCACTGTAATAAGTGCGATTTTTCAACAAAAATATGTCTTATGTGTCGTCGACTGTACCACAGAGTGAGTGCCTTTGTGTTGAAACAGACTGAGATGTGATGCTTGATTTATTTAGATATATTTATTTCACAGTATTTTTCAATTTTATTTACACATTTATGAATATTATTTTATATAGTTTTCTCTTATCCGTTTAGTAACTAGAAGTACGTGGGTTGACCGTCATGAGAAGTCGTATTATTACAGCATTACCTTATTTTATGGACAACCTTCGTATCTATTTAGTAACGGCCTTTATTGATTATTTTATATAATTTTCAAAATTAATGGATCGGAAACAAACGCAATTATGAGTAATCGAGTAGATTTCTCTTATTTTAAGGCTGCGAAATCCTGTAACCACGTTAAAATTGTTTTCGAAGGTGAAGGCGTTAAAAATATGATTGTGAAAATCTGGGACCTAATCTAAAGAGTTTATATGATTCTGTATATTTTCACTTAAGGAGGTTTATGATTAAAATCGCAACGCATTACATTTTTAATAAACAAACGTATCATTCTCAACAAGCAACTCCAATGTAAAATAAAAAAACCAAGCGTTGATACAAATAGGACAGTTGTATTACCAGACATAAAAACTGTTCTTCGGTGTTGCTACTAATTTAAATTTTAAATGCAGTATTTATAATTGAAATGAAAAGTAACTAAAATATACGAATAAAAAATTCCTCATTAAAAATAACAAGAATATTGACCTTATAATTCTTAAAATATTAAACTTATAATATCATATTAATATTAATAACTAATATGAAAAAATATAAACTATTCAATGTACTATGAAAAAATATATGTGCATTTTTGTGTTGTGTTATGTTAAATTCAAATTATTTGTGTTTAATTACAATTCGAATGATATTTAAATGTAGTAATAGTTTTAGGGTATACATACTACATTACTTTAAGTCACATTTTATGTCACATGACGTGTAATCTTCAATCATTATATCTATTTACTTCCTCTCACATGTAGCGAACAAGAAACATTTTTGTATATATGTATTTCGAACAGGCCTAACGTAGGGAAATAACGTCTGCTATCTAATGGACCATTGGGTCAGGTTTTGAGATGTTTACTATAATTATGTAGCTATTGTCGAACTGTTTTCGAAAAAATGCGAAGGGACATGGCTGAAAATAAATGACTCTCGAACCGAGAAAATTATAAATTAGTTTTTTCACAATGTTTTATTGCTGGGTGATAAAATAATTGTTCCAAATTGTCAGTTTTTTATTTTGAAAGCGATGCCCCGCCTTTTTCATGATACAAAGTACAATCATACTCTTTGTATCATCTAAAACAGATAATAGTTATTGTAAAATATCTCGAAATCGGTCATATTTAATTAAATGTCTATTGCAATCGAATGTATCTAAACTCTTGTCTTGTCTAGGTCCACACACACTCACTTCGCTTGTAAGTGTATGTCTACCTCCACAAAACAAGCGGCACAAGAGCTTATTTTGATGTGTAGGTACGTAGCGATAGATGCTACACGGAATCAACCTACAAATGCACCTAACTAGATTTGTGTAACATAGTATTGCTAGCTTTTTAGCTCACAAGAGCTAGGCGTTGTATCTAACCTCCACGTAAAGTATTGCTATGTGAAAAATATGCTTTTACTGATGTTGACTCGTGATAGAAATATTTAAATCATCAGTTACAGTCACGACGAATGTATGCGGTCCACTATTTTCAATTAAATCATATTTGTATACATACATACATTCCAATGCTGAAAAAAAACTAAAATTGTATATATCAAAAGCAGGTAGATTCCTTGTAAATTTAACTGTAGTAGTTACCTATAATGCTGTTTCGAATGTACTCATCTTAATACATGCATAAAGTATTACCTAATTATTATAAGATTTATAATTTCTGTTAATAACATAAACCCTTTTTTCTCTTCAGTGGTTGAATTTCACAAAAATAAAATACATTTAATTGAAATTAAAGCCCTTGAAAACAGGTTTATTTTCAGAACTTATAAATCAGATATTATTGATATTTATTTTAATAAACGTAGAATCTCGGCTTTATTGTATTGGCTAGACGCCATATTATTTTGAACGTATGTTATTGTGTCATTCATTTATAATCTTCTAAGTTATAATCATCACTGTACCTGTAGCTATTCTTATGAACCTATCTTTTAATTAATAATAATTTAAATTGTAGTCTTAGGCTCTCTTATTCTAAATTGATTTTATTGACAATAAAAATGTTTATGCTATCGAATACATATCCACATGTTATTGAAGTGCCTGTGCGCATTATATCTTCAATACAGCTTTGATGTTTTGTAACGAACAGTTTGTGTTGATTTAAGAGATAACCAGCTAAAATGACTTTAAATATTTAGTAAAATATTTATACCACTATTTGATAAAAGACCTCTCCATCTTATGAAAGCTTTTAGAATGCCAGGCTAAGAGAGTGTGTTTTTATCCTTTTACGGAGCTCCAGATAATTGTTGGTAAAACAGATATAAGTGCAGCATTAGTGCCATTATTATCTGTTGTAGAGTTTTAGAGGTATTATGGTGGTATTGTAGTCATTAAACCTTCAATACATCTTTCAACACAAATGACGAGGCGTCTTGCTCGGCATGCTTCATATCATGCTGCATTATTCTATAAACGGCAAGACTGTACTGCCTCTAACGAATTAATATCGTTGCAAATATTGTATGAATAAAAGCATTAGTCTGTCATATCTTATGTTGTTTGTGATACACGAGTGGACTATAATTTCCTTGTATTTCTTTTGATTTGAGTCCTGTATGATCTCTAAATTACCTAATTAAGATATTAAATACTATACTTTAAACATATTTATTGGAGTTTTCATTTATAATATCTATCTGTTCCGTCTTTTATGATAAATGTCGCAGATGATATAAATATAAGATACCACAAGTCTAGAAAACCATTCTTATGCCACAGTCTTCTAAGGGAATGCGATTTCTCTATTACGATTTTAAGTATTCGTTTTGTGGCGCCATAGGGAACCATTGTAAATGTAAGTAACAATAATTTTAAAGCTTAGCAATGTTATAGGGATATTGTTGTTTATAGTAACTATATTAATAGCTTTATAAATAATGCCAGGATATCTAGCCGAAAGCAACGTAAGAATGAGTTTATTCGCTAAGAAGTGTTGTTTTAGTCTGTCATTTAATAAACATTTTACAATGGTAATATTTTGTTTAATTTCAACAAGATACCTAGGTACATTTAGTAACAACTTCTAGCTAGATTATTAATTAAAACAAAATGAATTCGAAGCTTCAAATAAATGTAAATCCGCTCTATAAGATAGAAATTAGTATAAGTATCTTCTAAATTATTCGTGAGAAAAATAGGTCTTTTTTAGTGAAATGTGTGAATGAAAAAGGTCTTCATTATGACTAGTCTTAGTAAATAAACACAATACTTAGACACATCTGACAGCCAGCGCGTCGGCTGACAGTCGACGCAGGCGCAGCGAATGACGCACGTTCGACAAAACAGTGGCAATATTTTTAGACTCGTCTACGTGACATGCGGTAATCATTCGCCTGTGCGCTGAATTAATACTAAATTGGTCGTTTACCTGCATACTTTTTATTGAAATCAATGGTTTTGTACTTTTGTATGCAGGTGTAGTCTTAATTGTACTTATATTCCATGTGGCATCAGATACTTTTAATCAAAAAGCTACATCGTCATTTGGCGCTGCTATACTGGGAATTTGTACAGCAATACATAAATCAGTTACCGGTATCTGTTTTGAAAGCTTGTCTTTTTGCAGACGGACGGTAAGGAAGTCTCCCACAGAGAGAGAGAAGGGTACAAACATGTCACCTCATGTGGTGCAGTTAACGCAAACAATAATATAAATTGGATTCTACAGGTGTGGTTGGAATGTCTCGAGAATGAAGCAATACACGAACAGTCCATACAATCCACGAAGAGGCCCATACAATCCATGTAGGCTCTATGATAAAATAGGTATGTTTAATGCAAACGTGTTTGAATATGGCAAGTAAAGGATGTTGTATCCTCTACGCATATTATGCCTAGTAGCAATGTGAACAAACCTTAAGTTTTTTATAAGTAATCCTTGAAAACTGTGCTTTTCAAAGACATTTGAGATGGTCCTAGTTTCAAGAAGAACAAAAAGCATCACCTTATCTTTTAAATAGGGACAGTCCTTCCGTTAACAAACGAAGCGCAAAGATGAAAGATTAACGGTTGATAACGATTTGCCGATGGCTTCTAAGCTTTACCACAGGCTTCACAACCAGTTTCGTTCGTCTCGAAGGAGGCGTTGAGATTTTCCATGTATAAACTGATGGAAGGAAGAGGAAGTGATCTTGAGATCCATATCAGCTATAGCCTTGTAATTATGGCAGATAACCGCTAGTGTTGGTTAAACTCGCGTTTACTGCGATAACATTGGACACGACCGTGCAAAACACAGCGTGTAGAGACGAGACATACAACGGGTGAACGGTTCTGTGTGCTTACCATGAGTTTACGTTAGGTGTGCTCGCTAGCGACTGCGTAAAAAAATGACATTTAAATGTATGACATATTGTGCAGCACCCCTAGCGGCTACTTTCAAGAAATAAAATCTTCATATAATTTTTTGACGTATTCGCTAGCGAGCTCACCCAACGTAAACTCATGGTAAGCACACTGTAGAGCGATTTTTCTTCACCTTGCTTACTTAAATAAATATCTGGAAATTCTATTCTAAAACATTTTTTTTAAGATTATTAATTGCAAATTAATTAAAAATTGTGTTGCCACTTAATTACGCAGATTTACACGAATTAAGAAATTGACTATTTAAAACGAAGCTCGATGGACAGCCCCAAGAAGAAAGCTAACAGTGCTTTTACGTGAAACAGCTCTGAAAAAAGTATAACGGAAATTACCGAAAAAAAAGGATGACTATGGTGACACATGGCGGCCTCTATTCCCTTTGGTAGTTTTTTGTTCCTTCTAACTGTTGGTAATAAGTAGGTAGATATTAATTAGTTAAGTAAAAAAGTGATAAGATGCTTGAAGAGGGAAAACATACAACACCAAGGCACATGCAATATGTAACTAATCGGCTTACCTACCTACCTATTATCTAATTGCAGTTATCAATAATGCGACTGGCGAAGAATATTTTCCAGTAAGTTGTTCAATCATCAACAGCCCTTTACAGTCCACTGCTGGACTATGAGCCTCCTCCACTATAGTGGAGGGTTTTGCCATAATCTCCACGCTTGGCGGGCGGGTTGGAGATCGCAGTTTAAAAGCCGTAGCCGTGTGGTGACGGCAGAGTAGAATACATTTGTCACCAACCCCTACTCTTCCCACGGGTGTCGTAAGAGGCGACTTAGGGACTACACATCAAACAGAGAATGGGCAGCAGCGCTCTCTGAAAAGTTGTTCAATGTAAGAACATAATTATGTTCAGTTGATTGCTTGCCTCTCGTGGGAATCTTCTATCTTAGTAGGGATAAAAAGTATGAAGTTTAACAAATAAGGCATTTACGTTGATCCCTCATCTTAGTACATACCTACAAAACTACAAAGGTGTGCTATGTTTCTAATTGTCTAACAAAGCAATTTGCTAACCAGGTGCGATTGCGGTCAAATACCTGCCTTGTCTAGCATAAAAAGAAAATTGTTAGCAACATTGAAACATTTGCAAGTGGAATTTGCTTGCTTGCCGAACGTCAGTTACAAACTCAATCAATACATTTGCTTAGTTTCAGAAAAACTAAAACTACCAAGTTCAAATGCTATTCTAATACTTTTTTCAAAAGGCAGGTGCTACCCCCAGATGTGAGCCCCCAGCGCACGCGGCATGGAACGTGTGAAAGGAAGTAACCCACGTAATTCCGTTTCCCCTAGCCAAAAAACAATGGTGTTTCTATGGCTTGTTCCACGAATGTGTCATGGTTATCTACACTNAATACTTAGTTATTAAAAACATCACAAAAATCAACTATATTTTTCGATAATTGACTTTAATAAACGCATTGAACATAAATTAATAGTTTTTAATTTAAAGAAACAGAACCAGTACTTTTTAGGAATCGTTTTTTTGAACACGAACCATGAAATTTGAATATTATCAATAAAAAATTGTTACAATAATATTTGTAATTAAAAAAACATTTTTTTTTTTGTTAAATAACACCTATACAAAATATTTCTCTAAAAGTAGGTTTTACTAACTCTTCGAAAAAAATCGATAGATAAATCGCTACGGTTTAGTTATGTGACATCTCTAAATCTTTCAAACTCGAAACGCCATACGGATCATCTTAGGTGAAAAAGACTATAGTGTGTCACTCGCATTACAGTGTCGCGCCCTAGTGTCACACTGTAAGGTCTTACTCGCCTCCTAGTGCCTCCAGTGTCGCTCGCGTCTTGACGCGAACAATATCAAGGTGTTGCACCAGAGTAAATACAAATGAGTAGGTCATCTTCATAAAAATTGATTATTCGTTCATTCATTGAATTGATCATTGATTGAATTGATTAGCAACTCACCGCTAATCAACGCTAAATTATGTCAGTGTGTGCGTGCGCACCGCATATGTATTGGCGCGCTCACATACAAACCGCGCTCGGTGCGTTTCCATGAAGATGACCTACTCATTTGTATTTACTTTGGTTGCGCCCTAGTGTCTCGCTCGCGCCCTAGAGTCTCGCTCACGCCTTAGTCCCTCTCTTGCTTATGGCTCCAGTAGCTACTACGTCACGTCTCTCTGTAGGGAAGTGGTGTGATATAACAATGATACTAACCCCTGCCTGTATAGCTCTTCCTCCTCCAGCAAGTATCCCAGCGAGGAGACGGCAGGAGGCACCTCCACATCGTTCTTAGGTCGGGGCACGTCGTTCTGTGGGAAGAAAGATAAAATAATCAGTGAATAAGAATATTCGGTAAAAACAAAAACTTAGTGCTCAATGCGGGTTGCAGTCGCAGACCAAGAGCCAAGGTATTATTAGTTTGTTAACATAACTAGCATACATAGCTAGTAAAAAAACTAATAAAACTCAGTTCAGTTCAGTTAATCTCAGTCGGAGTTTGTCAGTGTTTGTACAGTTTGCAATCTGATAACTTAATAGCGCCCTAGTGTCTCACTCGTGCCGTAGTGCCTTGCTCGCGACCCAGTGTCTCACCTTAGTGTCTTAGTGGCGCCCTAGTATCTTGCTTGCATCCTAGTGTCCCACCGTAATGCCTCAGTGGCGCCCTAGTGTCTTGCTTGCCCCTGTAGTATGTGTACGCGCCAAACCTATACAGTGTGTCCGGGCATGTAGTGATCAAACTTTAAGGGCGTAATCTATGGACAATTTTATCGATGAAAATACTTCAAATTTGGGGCCTGACCCATTTCTCGAAATCTTACATCGATTTAAGTTTTTAATTTTTAGTTTACACCTCTTCTTTAAAAAACAAGTAAAAGCGTGGGTAGCTTAACATTAATAGGCAAGTATTTTATATCATGCGATAGCCAATAAAATTATCTATTAGTAGAAGAAGAAAGCAGACACAAGTTTCATACATTTTATGGGAGTAAGATTGGATTTAATTAGAAAAATACATTACTTTTTTAACTTCTTTTTCAGTTATTTTCCAACACAAGAAAAACCAGGTCGTTAAGGTATGTTTTATTTGCATTGTATTTTTTGTATTTGAGCTATTCTACAAAACGAATGTAAATTTATTAGTCTACGTCTATTAGTTTCGACGTAATTGTTGAACAAAGATACCCCTTCCCAGCGGTTTCCATAGTAATCGGAATAGGTTGTGTGATTCTTTCAGGCAGTGCTTTTTCGCATGTCACGTGCGCTATGGAAACCGCTGGGAAGGGGTATCTTTTTTCAACAATTACGTCGAAACTAATTGACGTAGACTAATAAATTTACATTCGTTTCGTAGAATAGCTCAAATACTAATAATACAATGCAAATAAAACATACCTTAACGACCTGGTTTTTCTTGTGTTGGAAAATAACTGAAAAAGAAGTGAAAAAAGTCATGTTTTTTTCTAATTAAATCCATTTTTACTCCCTTAAAATGTATGAAACTTGTATCTGTTTTCTACTTTTGCAAATAGATAATTTTATTGGTTATCGCGTGATATAAAATATTTGCTTATTAATGTTAAGCTACCCACGCTTTCACTTGTTTTTGAAGGAAAAGGTGAAAACTAAAAATTAAAAACTTAAATCCTTGTAATTGTGCGATAAATGGGTCAAGCCCCAAATTTGAAGTATTTTTATCGATAAAATTGTCCCTAGATTTGGCCCATAAAGTTTGATCACTACATGCCCGGACACACTGTATATTTGACGTTGCTGCGTAAACTGACACACACAATATACTCACATCGCACAGTATAAACTACTTTCATTGACAACTCCCGGTCCCCACATTACATGGCGACCCTGCCAGTGCTGCCTTAGGGCAGTACTGTGCAATAAAATAATATGTTAAAATTTTAATTGGTGTTTATTTAAATGGACTAAAATGAAGTAAAATCAATGAAGAATCGGAATAAGAAGTGAATTTGAAGAAAAAGTGAAGGAACTTCAGAGAAATAAAGAAGATATAATGTGTCAGAAGACAAAAGATAATTAAAATGAAAACGGAAATGGAAATGCTGGCTGCCGGGCGTAGATGGTGCCAGATGGAGGTTTGGTGATGTGCAGGGCGCTGGGAGAGTTCGAGTCAGATGTTAGTTAATTGCTGGCTGCCGGGAGAGTTCGAGTCAAGGTTCCGGATGCCGTCGGATGATGAAGCTCGCGTTAAGGAGATGAAATAATTAGCAAGTACCTACTAAATTACGCATTTCTTAAATTTTAACATTATTTTGAATACCTATATAAAATAAAAAAATACATTTTAAATAACTTAAATAACTAATTTTGTAATTCACATGTGGCCACTGTGTAATTTGTGTATTTTTTTTAGAAAATAAGAATTTAACGTAGCTAGAAGGGTCAAATTAAGTAAGTAATTTTGAAGTCTGAATAATGTCCAAAATTATAACATTATTAACACATTTTTAAATATTTGATATTAATTTGCAGTTTACTTCATCAAATATACATTTCAAAACTTTTAAAAGAAATTGGTTAAAGACTTTATTATATCTATTAATTGTTTATTGTAATTAATTTTGTTTGCTTAATTAAAAGAGTTTTAATTGCAGATTTACACCCGTATTCACAAACGATACTTACCTATGCAAAGCAGCAACGCTATGCGAAATGAGACATTTCTCAATGCGTTCCATATGACAAGCCTTTCAATTCATAAACAATACTTAAACGACCCTTGACTATGCAAAATCAGAGTGTTGAATAGAGTTCTGTGACTGTGATTGGTTCGCTTATGTTACGCACTTCACTCCGCTAACTGACATGACATTCCTGTCATTCAAACGGTGCAACGGTTTATAAGTGTCGTTATTTTGTGGATTTGTGAATTAAATAATATAAATAAATATGGATAAAACTACAACTATCAGGTTAGTATGAATATTTCGATTAATAATAATAGTGAAAATCATGTTTCAATCATTATTTTTCAGATAAAAAAGCTGCCGTTTTCTTCTTCCGAAAGAGAGCTGCTGATTGTAGCTTAATAAGAGAAAGGCCTATTATTGAAGACAAGCATATTATTATCCTCTCTAAAATATCGAGTTGACGAAGCAGGCCTGGGAAACTCTAACAGTGGCTTACAATTCTCAACCATATTTTATGTTTCACAAAGGCTCACACATCAACTGAAAAGCTGCTGGAATAATTTAAAGACCCAAAGAATGAAAGAACTTTCTCAGGAATCAATCAAACGTTCTCAACACCCACTAGTAAGTAATGTTTTTAGATTAGCAAGCTGAAGTGGCAATGGGCAGGGCACATAGTACGCAGAACTGATGGCCGATGGGGCAGAATAGTTCTGGAATGGAGGCCGCGTACCGGAAAACGTAGCGTGGGACTTCCACCTACAAGGTGGACCGACGACATCGTAAAGGTAGCAGGGAAGCGCTGGACGCAGGCCGCTTCCAATCGATCAACATGGAAAGCATTGGGGGAGGCCTATGTTCAGCAGTGGACGTCCTATGGCTGAAATGGTGGTGGTGGTGGTGGTGGTGGTACATATACTGAAAATGTATCATTAGAAATCAACTACGGGGGCTAAGGAGATAAAAGGAGGGTTGGAAGTTTATATTATGAAAGTCCTATGTGTTTAAAGTAAGAGAGTTGAAATTTAAAATGTATGCGCTATAGATGCTAAGAGCGGATTTTACGAAACTCCACCCCTAATGGAGTAAAACGAGGTCCACGCGTACGAAGTCGCGGGCGGCCGCTAGTAAATTATAACGAGACAGTTATTTTGAAAATGAATAAAGAAACAATAAATTCATGAATAAGTGCGCTGATTTTAGTTAAACGATTACAATTTATTATAACTTAAACCTACATTGTATTTATGAAAAAAGTTCAGCGACTATATTACCTGCATAGGTTTGTTAATTTAACTACTTAGGTATTTATTTACTCGAGATTTTAAGGCTTTGTTTTTGTTTTACCCTAGCAATACTGTTGCGTTATGCAATGCATTCCGTTAGAAAAAATCTATTAATAGAACAAAAATGCGGGTACATTCATAATATTGGCAACCGCATATTTCACGTAGAATTGTCTGTCTTTTAGTGCAATGTCGGCTTTCAGCATCAATCAATATCTGTCGAGCTGTGTAATGATTATGTTGTGTTGTGAACAGTGTTTTGGCTACCAAGGAAACTCGAAGGCTACTTTCATAGGTGAGTATAAAACTGTGTTCATATTCTTCCGCGCCTTTGATTTTAACCACTACAAAATGCATAAAATTATCAATGTATTCGATTTAAGTTACCTAAATACCTACTGATAAGAATATTTAATTTGGCTTATTCCCAAAGGTCCACGACTCTATTGTCTTCCCACCGGGTCCATGAAATTTTAAAATAAAGTAAGAAAATGTTTTTTTTATTTTTAATGTCGTGGAACTCGGACCCCTTGGGAATCAAAGTAACTATGAACTTTTATTTTTTTTAAACAATAGAGCTGTTGACCCTTAGGAATAAGCCTTTAATATCACATTAGTGTAAGTACCTAACTAGTTAAATCGTTTTAACAAATTAAATCTCTGTAAAATAAGATCACAAGTTTCTACATACCTAAAGTGAGTTTTAGGTTCAAAGTAGGTGCTAATCTTTGTATGTTCCCTATTCTTCTTATTTATTATACAATAGAGAGTGGGCTCATTTTGTAAAAGAACTTATGCAACTCAACGGAGTAATGGATTGTAGAGTGTTACATTTTACTTGGGTACGTTGGTTGATTTTTAACGTGAAAGTAGATCGATCACATAATACCTACCTAGTAGTAACGGATGAAAAATGATTGTACTTACATATCGTAAATCAAAAACTTTGATTTCACATTATTATTAATCGACTACTAATTTGTTTCTATCATAAACTGGGCACAAAAGCTAAATTATCTATCATAAGCTAAATTAAAGTTAGCCAACAAGACAAATACTTAATTAGCAAGTAAGTAAGTAATAGGTAAACATCCCACTTCGGTGTGCAGGTCAATAATTTAATTAATTATTTTTGTTAAAATGCTAAATATTCTTCAGTCCAAACAGTGTAGGGTTCCATAAATCGCAAAACAAAGTATGGCATGTTAATTTCATATTCACAACCGTGTCCATAATTCAAAAGGAGAAAGGAAATAGAATCGTGTTTTTGTATCGGCGATAATAACCACGAGCCATAAGCTACTAGTATAATACGCGGTATAGTGATATTACTATGGTTACTTGATGCTTCGGTGACTG